ACTCATCTGGCCTTCGTTCATTAGTGTTCAAAGCCTCAAATCTGTTCCTGAGATGGTTCTGAAATTCAGGTGGGATAGACTCAAGGTCATAGTATGTATAAAATGTGTATGCCACTGAAACTTGAACCATCTGTGGCTTTAAGAGAATTAGAATGGGGGAGTTTCAGCTAATAAAGAGTGAAGTTTGCCTGCAAGTAAAGAAATGAGAGTGTGTGCAAAGCTTATTTTCTTTTATCTGGGAAAAAACTGAAACACATTCCCTGGAACAGAGCTTTTACCACCTATTCTGTGGAGAAAGTTTTCTTTTTGAGAGCTGTGTTGGATGGAATGAACATAATAATATTAAAACTGACAAAATATATTTTAAAAAATATAAAACACAATATAAAGTTGCTGGTCAGTCTTCGTGTTCTATAGTATTTGGGAAAACAACTGTTACAGTTTACTGCTGTAACTGACAAAGCTGAAACTTTTTGGTTTTTGTAGTAAAGGTATCACATGCAAACAAATGAAGTGAATGAATGAAAAAGTCAAATGGTTTGTCTCATTCTCGAGGAGCCACGACTCAAGCTGAACTGTCAAAGTAATTTAACACTGTATACTAGGTGATCTTTTTACCCCTCCTCCTGTTTATTTTTGTTTGTTTGTTTTATTTATAGCCTGATTTAAAACAATCAGATTCAAGTTGGTTAATTTTAGTTATATAGTAACCTGACATGATGGAGGAAAACAACCTTTAAAGGGATTGTCTATGGTTTGATTCACTTAGAATTTTATTTTCTTATAACTTAAGTGCAATAAAATGTATTTTTTCATGTTAAAAATGTGTATGCAATTTTCAGAAGAATGCATTATCATTTGTAAAAATCTCTCTGTAGTTATAAACAAAACATATTTCACAAACCCAACTTAAAACTATCAATGTATCTACAAGGCTAAAATTCTGTGTGTGTTCACTGTTTGAACTTCTAAGGCTCTCTGGCTAAAGCTGTCAGGGCCAATTACAATGACCCTCTGAATGTGACTGCCCCTGCACACACAAGTATGTACTTATGTTTTCGTTATTGCCAGCATTTTTATAGTAGCTGATTGTCAAATTTCTGATAGTTTAATCACCAAAATATTGGATAATTAGTATTTATGAACCTTATATCATTAACTTATTTATAATGAAGTAGAAAGTAAAGGAAAAGGAGAAAAGAAGCCTTCCATTTATTTAGTGATAATGTAATTCAGTGTAGAGATCTTATAAAACAATTTAATTCTTAGTATTCATATCATATAATACTAAATTTAAGCATCCTACAACTCTATTAGGGAGCTCGGCTGGCATAGTCCAAAGGGAGTTGCCCTGTTAACCCAAAGGTGATATGCATGCCTTTCTGGCAGTTTGAATGCACCAATGGGTCCAAGAGATACAATGTCCTCCAATTCAATTTACAGTCTCAGAAACCAAATCAATGGAGGTTTCTGTCTTGATGGCGGGGAGTTCAAGAGAGTTACAACTATATTTATCACACATTATTCTGTAATTAAGGGTGATGAAGAAATATTACTAAGAATCTATATGATATGGTACAAAAAAGAGGTCTTTGAGTGACATCCTAAGTTAACATATGGGGTGACATTATTGATTCAAAACAAATATTTGCTGAATGTATTAATGAAATGTTATGGAAAATATTGCCAGTTCATTTTCAGGGAATAATTCAGTATCTTGCCTGCCTTGTGGTGGCGACAAGACCTAGGAGTAAGGAGTTGCACTACCAACCCCAAAGCATGTGGTTCTAATCTACCAGCTGCTCAGTGGGAGAAAGATAGACCATCTCCTCATGTACAATTTACTGCTTCTTAAAACCCTGTGGAGGATCAGCTATGAGCTGGTTCTGACGAGACAGAACACAACAATTGTCCCTTTTCAGGACTCTACATAATTCTCAGAATTCTAGACCATTGGGAAAGGACAAGAATGCATTATTCTAGAATCCAAATAGGCAGTGACAGGTTAGTTACATATACGCAAGCAGGTAACTGACAAGAGGTCATGTAACTAAGAAGCAGAACCCAAGACTCAAAGGATCTCTAGAGGTCTAGGGGTAAGAACTTACCCAGAGGCATGCAGTTTGAATTTACTAGCTGCTTCACAGAAAAAAAGATGGACATTTTCCTGTGAAATCTGCAGCCTCTGAAAACCCACTGGAGGTTCAGCTGTGAGCCAGTTGTGACTTGATGGCACATAATAACAACAACATCCAAGATTGATGGAGTTGTTGTACATGACCATAGATCTTTCCCTTTGAAAATTTCTTTAACATGCTTGTATTCATTTTAAATGAGCAAAATATTAAAAACATAACCCACAGCTAATCACACAGGAGAAGACTGCCCCTCCTTCTCTCATGGAGTAGCTGGTGGCCTTGAACCATGTTCCTTTGGGATTATAGCACAGCTTCTTGCCAGTAGGCCACCAGAGCTCCCTAATAGTTGGCACATGAGATAGTAAAACATCAAGTTGCTCAAGAAAAGCATTCAAGACATTTCTAAGTCAGATTCTTGGTTTTAGAGCATGTGTTCAGCTCCTCAGATATTATAAATTCATCAGATTAATGCCAGTGCAGTGACAGGAAGGGGGAGCTGAGACGATGACACCTGCTTTCATTATGATTAATCACTCATCTAATTCCACACACAGAATCTTACTGCAACCTCCCTCTACCTGCCTGTGCATCTGAAAACAAAAACATACTTACAGGGTCTTGAGTTTCAACTGGGGACCCACTTTCTCATGCATTTTGATCAAGCGGCTATTACTGTAAATGAACATTCCGGTTTGGCTTCGATTTTCTGGGCTCACTCCAAAGAACAAGGGGAGCATTTTCGCTTTTCTTAATTCTCTAGAGTTACATTTAGAAAAAAGTAAGGGGAGGGAGAAAGTTTTCATTAAAAAACAATAAAAAGTTACAAAACAGCTAACAAACAAGGAGTGTAAATATGAAAGGGAAATGATCTATGTGTGCATTTTGAAAAACTGGAGGTACTCTCAGTATTTTCCACATAACCAAGTATTCTGCATCCTTTGATGGGTAATATCTGTATCAGCCAAAACACAAGTGTTCACAAAAACAAGTGCTAGTTTCAATTTCTAAGAACTTGAAAATACCGAGAAAGTTGTGAAGTGTTAAACGACCCAATGTGTATTGCATTCTTTTAAAGAAACTATTTGACTACTTTAAAACTTAAATATTTCTAAGGCTGGATGGGATTTCTGATGTTCACTGTGACTTGAGCCTCTAAATATCCTATATATTTTATAATCTTACTGAAAAGATATTTTCAGTTATTTCTCTGACCTTCTAGAAAATGAAAGGCAAGTAAAGTTAATAAAGAAAGCTTACCAGGGCAACAGATATGAACTCCTATTTTCTGAACTTAGTCCTGCCATACTGGGTATTGTGTGACTTTTCTATTAAAAGTGCAAAAATGGAAATTGCAAAAGAGCAGAATATGATGAAAAAACAACCAAAGTCACAGAAGGCTCACTGGAACTGTAAAAAGTGCTTGGATTTAAGAGCTAGAGAGACTCAAGTTCAAATACAACATTATCTTCATAATAGCACAGTTGTTATTGTTATATGCCATCGAGTCATCTGTGACTCACAGCAAACCTATGTACAGCAGCTCTAAAGCCTGCCCTGTCCTTGAGCCAGTCTCACTGACTCCAACACACCTACTCCAGTTGCCCCAGTTACTGTGACACTCAATTTTCATCCAGGGTCTTCCTCTTCTGTGCCATCCCTACAGCCTTCCAAGCTTGATGACCTTCTCCAAGGACCAGTCCCTCCTGGCCACATGCCCAAAATATGTGAGACAGAGCTTCAAAATCTTAGTCTCCAAGGAGAAACTTGGTTTCACCCTCTCCAAGGCAAACCTAATTATTTTCTTGGTGATCTATGATATGTTCAAAACTCTTCTCCAGCACCACAACTCAAAGGCATCAATTCTTCTTCAGGCATCCTTAGTCATTGTCCAACTCTCTGATGCACAGCAAGTAACCGTGAAGGCCAGGGCCTGGGTCAGGTGCACCTTAGTCTCTAGACTGATATTGTTGTTTCTCAGTACTCTGGAGAGGTCCCTGACAGCAGATTTTCTCTGTGCAATTTGTCTTTTGAGTTCTTGACTGCTGATGCTAAGAGTGTTGATTGTGGAGCCAAGCAAGCTGTAACTGTTAACAGCTTCAATCTCTTCTCCATCTATCATGATGCTGCCAATTAGACTAATGGCTAGAATCTGATTTCTTGACATTGAGCTCCAAATCATATTGAAGACTACAGTCCTTGACCTTCTGCAACAAATGCTTAAGGTTCTCCTCACTTTCAGAAAGCAAGGTTGTGTCATCTGCATAATGTAGGTTTTTAATGAGTCTGCTTCCAATACTGATACCACATTCCTCCTCATATAGCCCAGCCTCACGAATGATCTGTTCTGCACATAGCTATGTCATTTAGTCTTTCTCCATCCTCTTGGAAAAAAATAGAAATAAAACCTCCCTACCTACTTGGGAGGGAGCCCTGGTAGTTTAGTGGCAAGAAGCTGCACTGCAATCCTGAAGGCATGGGTTCGAGGCTACCAGGCGCTCACTGGGGAAAGGATGGGCAATCTCCTCTCCTGCAACTAAATGTCTATGAAAACCCACAGGAGGATCAGCTATGGGTAGGTTCAAACTCTATGGTACACAACAACAATAACCTACTTGGGAAAGAAGCTCTGGTAGAGTAATATGTAGTGTTGGGCTGCTAAGTGAATGGTATGAAACTACTAGCAATTCCACGGGAGAAAAATGGGCATAAAGATTTACAACTTCAGAAACTCAATAGTGGGTGTCTATGAACAGGAATTGATTCAAAGGCAGTGAGGTTACCTACTTGGGAAGGAGTTTCTGATTCACACTAATGGTTTAGCACTCTACTCCTAATCGAAAGGTAAATGGTTCAAATCCCCCTTATAAGAAGAGCCTAATACTCTACTTTCAAAACGCTGTCGTCTGAGAAACCATATAGAGCAATCCTTTCCTGAACACTTGGGGTTGTCATGAGTCAAAATCAACTCCATGGCGACTAGTGAAAACAGTCTGGGAGGCTGTGACTAAAGGAGATAATGCTAAATATGAACTTAAGACAGACTGGAGATTAGAAAATGTTATTTTTTTTCCTCAAATAAAAATGGCACTAACTATAATCTTTCTTTTCCCATGTATTCTAGAGTTGCCCTACTCTTAAGTATGGTTTTTCTTTTGAGGTTCATGAAAATACGCAAGCAAAATAAAATATTACATTTGACAGATTTATTAAAACACATGTCATTAAGGTACATTGATTGAGAAATGTCTATCAGTCTTTCTATGATACACACAAGATACAGAATGTACTAGACTTTCTCAGAAGTTATTGGCAAAAGCTTCATAGTACAGTGGTCTGGGGGTGTGCTGGATAACAATAAAAGAACTTTTTTTCCAAAGAAATAAGTGAACTGGGGTAGGGGGGTTGGGGCTGAGGAAAACAAGGATGGAAATGTACAACAATCAATGAAATGAATGTATACCCAAGTCCTTTATAAACTTTCATTAAAATCTCAATGGAGCAAAAAAGAAGTTATTGGCATGAGTTAAAACATTAAGTGTTTATTATATCCAGTATATCTACCTTTGCATAGTTATGATCTACACAGTCAAATGCCTTTGCATAGTCAATGAAACACAGATAGACATTCCTCTGGTATTCCCTGCTTTCAGCCAAGATCCATCTAACATC